CCCCAAAACCCCAAAACCCCAAAACCCCAAAACCCCGCAATTAGAAATTGATATTAAAGTATGGTCAGACAGATGAGTAAATTATTAATGAAATTAACATCATAATTTTCTTGATAATCTCATTGCAGCTGTAGTGGCCCAAGTTCCAGTCTAGTAGATTGCATAGGATAATCCATTTTCCTTTTTAATTTATTCCTAAAGTAAATTCTATGAGATATATATACTTACTACATCTATTTTTTTGTTATTTTGAGCAAATTAGTCATAACTTCTATCTCTCAGCTAAATAATTTATTTTCTAAGTTCCTCATCCTTAATGTCTTATTCATTCAGTATTCTAAGCTATTCATCGTTTTCATCCTATAGTGTTGATATTAAATTTATAGATAGTTTCATTACCTGTATGCCTTTTTCTATTGAATAGAGTAAAACATTTGTTTTCTCCGTTCCAAGAAGGGCACTCGCAGTAGCAGACAGAATACCAAAAACTTTTGCTGTGGGTATTAATATTGAGGGCCTTGTTCTAGCATAAGGCATCTCACTTTCAATTTCTTTAATGTCCTTCTCTTAATTGGTTCTCATTTCCTAATATATGATTATGATAATAAGTTATTCGAAATACATCAATAAACTTCTAGTCTTCTGTAGATTTAGCATAGATATTTGTATAATAATCAATATTTTCTGTCATAAACTTAGTTGTGTATCTTGCTAAATGATTTGATCTATGAATCTCCTGAATAATCTCTTCTTTTGTTGATTCCTTTTATAGATCAGGTGGGAATAAGAACTCTTAAAACTATTAAGCTGTTTTAACCCCAACTTCAACTGTACTGAAGATGTAGTCATTCCAAGATTTACTTGAAGTCAAATTTTCATCATTCTTAGTAGAAAATAGCTATATTTGGGTAGTCTATGCTCTGAGATGATTTTAAACACGCCTGGCTGATTTCGATATCATTTTGTGGTATTTTTTAATTTCAATAATTCACTGCATTTTATCATCTAATAATCTTGCATATTGGGGTTTTGGGGTTTTGGGGTTTTGGGG